AACAGTGAATTGCACCTGAAAAGCCCACAAGAAGGAATTTGGAAAACACCACTGAAAGCCTCAAAGACAAAAGTTCTACAGAAAAGTCGCATGAACTGAAGGCATGGGGGTAGAACGGAACACACAGACAGAGGACTCTCAGTGGGTGAAAACGATGAATGGCCTCAGTCTTACGAGGAATACAAGGGTGTAAGAGCGCATGCCTAGTTACCCGGTATAAGAGTACGAGATGCTGTTCTAATCCTCACTGATCGCGCTTCATGAATTCTGAACACTTCTCTGTCATTTTAATGCTGCTCTGAATTTCTGGTTATGAACTCCCTACCAGCACCACAGGAGGGCTTTGTTCTAGATACTCAGACTGTCTTCTCTATCACTGACCAAGTCACGGTGATTTTGCCGGACCAAGCAGCACAGAGGACACCCACACGCCCCTGCCCCTTTGGAAGGGCCCCTTGTGTCCACCCAGCCACACAGGCATCCAGTGTGTGCAACTCACAACACAGCCTGATGCACATCATTTCAGGAACTTAGCAGCTAGGCTGCGAACGAAAATTTCACTCACGCCTGGGGAGATGTTTATGCTTCCTTATCTCTACAATTTTAATCATGAAATCTTAGCCATAAGAAATACAAATATTCTTATAGGTTTTGAGTGTTGATTTTAAATACAAGATGCAAGCATAGAATCAGTTTCTAACTGCTATTTAAGGAGGTCCATGTTTCCATTTACTGTCTTTGGATATCGGCCAAATACTTCTAGTTTTCTTCAATGCTTCAAAGTCCAGCTTACTTCCTAAATTTACACCTTTAATACCCATGGCTTTAAAAACAATTCATAATGAATCGAAACATTTCCCTACATTTGCTTTAGTTTTGAGAGAGCACACTTCTAGATTGTAACATGAATACATAAAAGTTACCTCACTGATGATTAACACTCTATTTGTCATGAACACTAGAACTAATGTTTAAAAATAAAACTGACAGGTTCCTGCCTGGGTATGAATTACTGAATTATTATGGTGGTGGTGGTGTAACATGGCTGAAGCCCAAACCAACAGCTCATCTTCCCAGTGACCACCCCCTGCTTTGTCTCCTCCCCTCAGCCTGGAGTAAAATTTCTTCTTGCCCTTCCTGCGTGTGAAGAAATCCCCAATCAGCTCTGACATGTCACTAAGCTCACTGCTTAAGCTCCGCCCCTAGCCAGAGTCTTTATAAACCCCAGCTCCCTTGTCTAGCCTAGAGGAGTCTGGTATGTCATGCCACCCTCCCCTCTCCATGTCTGGAATAAAGCCTACCTTTTATTTGCTTTGTTCTTTTCTGCACCAGAAACCTAACAAAAATAATGCTCAGACCTTCAAGGATGGGCACTAATAAGCCAGAAAATTCAAAGGCCCTTCTTAGCTGACCAGTTTTATTGAGCATGTATTGTATCACCAGAGACTCAGTGAAAGAAGAAGTTTTTAAGTTAACAAACTGGCTGGAGATAGTAAAAAGGAGGTGATGATAGCAAGGCAGAATCCATATGTATCTCAGGGAATGTCACACTGTCTCAGGTAGCAATCCCCAGAGGGACTGTAGAGCCTTGATCTGGGGGAGAGGGCCTATTACAGCTTTCGCAGGGTGAAACTTTTTCAGTACCTAGGTTTTTGTATGTCAGATATGTAGGAGAGCCACTCTTTCCTGAGAATCTCGAGAAACATGGCTGGAACATTTTAATCGTTCATGTTTGTGTAAATTTAATAACGGTAAGTCTGACCGAACCATAAAGACACCTATGTCTGCTCATGCACTGTATTCCCATGTTCCTTTAACAGAAAACTCATTTGAATTTTCTTGCAGAGTAGAATTTCAGGTACTATTGTTTTACAGGGCAGGACCTTGCTCCTATGAACCTGATGAAGAGGGAAGGGACTAGGAAATAAACTATTGGGGTTAAAGAAATGCAGAATTCTTTAAAACAGCCATAAACAAAGGCCCCATATTTGAATTAAAAAGATGCACATACAAGAGGGCACAGTGACCTATACTGTTGGAAACTCTTGCCCCCAGGCCAGTATCCCCCCACACCTGCAAACCCTCAGAAAGCACGTTAGTTAACCCTCCAGATAGTGCATTATGGTGTCACTTTTCTTTCCTTTATCACCTTTAGGGCTCTGGTAGTGAGAACTGTTGCTTGAGTGATGAATGTGTCTTCCTTCCTGTCTGGGGGTTAGCACCTGGATGACTTTACTTTTACCAAGAGCAATAAACACATTCTGAAGAGGTCATCTACCACAACAGTTCTTCAATCAATACTTGTGGAAGGAACAACAGAATTTTATTTATTTATTTATTTTTGTCTTTTTTGAGACAGTGTCTCACTATGCAGTTCAGGCTGGCCTTGAACTCACGTATGTAGTCCAGGCTGGCCTTGAACTCGCAGTGATCCTCCTGCCTCAGCCTCCCAAGTGCTGGGATTACAGACATGTGCCACCATGCCTGGCTTGAAAAATGGAATTTTAGAACCTACAGGGACCTTACAGATGGTCCAGTTCAGCCTCATTTGGCCAAGGTCAGATTGCTGGAAAAAATAAGAATCAAGATCTTCAATCTTAGTAAGACAGATAATTTTGCTATTCCAGATTGATTAACTATCAATTTTTAAAAAATGAAAATTTCTCTTCTGCCCTTTGTTTTCAGGCCTAAATACCATTCTAGCAACTTACCTTGATTTATCTGGTCTCTTAGCTGAGGAATTTTCCCAGTAAGATTACTTCACCTAAATCTGTCTTGTGTCACCCTTGAATTTGGCTTTACAGTAAAAGCCATTCAGTTGTTTCCCTTTCCTCTCTGTCTTCTCATCTCCCTGGACCCCTCTTACTGTGGGCTCTACCATCTACTCTGCTCCTCCATCTGCAGTGTCTCTGGAGCACCAAACTTGCTGAGCTCCAGACTTCTGCCTCCAGGTCTTTCCTGAGTATTTGTATGTTCTTATTGTCTTATACTCAGGATGCCCCTCATCATCTTTTTCCACATATTTTATTCAGCTTCTTAAGAATATCACCATATGTCTATGCACTCTCACTTGGAACTCAGTCATCTGATTCCCCATCTATCTTTATCCAGTCCTGTCGATTTTTAAAAACTTATTGTGCTCCTTTGTGGACTCACCTTCTGTACTCTAGATTTTCATCAGTTTTCTTTCCTCTAACTCTTTACATTTGGGGGAGGGTCTTTTTTTTTGAGACAGGGTTTCATTATAAAGTTCAAGCTGGCTTTGAACTCAGTTTGTAGCCCTGGCTGGTCTCGAACTCACAGTGATCCTCCTGCTTCAGCCTCCAGAGTGCTGGGATTATAGGCATGTGCCACCATGCCCAGCACTCTTTACATTTCTTAAACATCTATTTCATCACATTGACCTGAAGTTCAAAAAATCCTTCACACTCCTCTGTAGGACCTTCTCTTCTAATCAGATGGGCCTATCACTATTTTCCCATTGTACTTTCTCATTCTCATACCTGCATGCAATAAACCCCACAACTAGGACACACCTTCCCAATAATCAGCCACTTGCTCAAGATGTCACTGCCTTCAGTGGTAGCTCAAGTACAGCCTCCTCCCTGAAGCTTTCTGCTATGTTTTTTGCATTTACTACCTAGATAATATTTTTTTTGTGTCCGATTTCCAAATAATTCATATGTCAACTTTTTAAGTATATGTTCTTATCTTCTCAATATGACTGCACAAACTAAGTCTTACATGTCTTTTGCCATTTCTGAAACTACCAAAGCACTATATTATGCTGTAATATATTACATTATAATATGCTGTAATATTTGTGGGGAAAAATGACACACTGCAGTTAAGAGAACATGGTTAGGAGTTTACAAAAATCTTGAGTTCAGATAGTAGCTTTGCTCCTTTCGAGCTGGGTGAAGTATTTCAACCTGTACAACCTCTTCAGTGTGTGTGTGTGTGTGTGTGTGTGTGTGTGTGTATAGAGAAAGAGTGTGTACTAGTTACTTCAGAGGGCCGCTGTATAGTTTAACAGAACATGTGTGTATAAATATATGGTATTTAACATAGTATCTGGCTCATGGAAAGTGATTTCTTTAACTCTGAATTACAATTTTGTATGTAATAGGGAAGTCCTCTTTGGTCACTGTTTTAATTTACCAAGGTCACCCTAAATATTTTTTCATAACATGCTGTAAGATTTCATTTCACAGGAAGTTTTATACCACTGATCACCATATTTAGTCAAAAATTACTTCTCTAAGTTGCTTTCCATTCAAGCAAAAAAATTTCAACCTTCAAGCTGTGCCCAGGTGGTGAGGCCTGGTATGTAACACCCTGCAGATAGTTTCATCTCTACACATCGCTCAAGCGAGCATAATTTCCCACAATTACCGTTTTATTAATGGAGCTAAAGCAGAACTAAAGAGTCCTTGGGAAGGCTAGAAAAGCTTCCAATCCATCAAGCCAGTGGATAAAAACTTTGGGGCACAGGTTTGCAAATAAAGCCTGTCAAAATAAGCTCAGTGACTAGGGTCCAAAGCCAACATTTGAATAGCAAGGCTAGTCCCAAGTGTGATCAGCGGCTTTAAAAAACACAATGGAAATGATGCATTAGGGTACATTAAAAAGCGAAGTCCTGGCCTTTTGTTGGAAGAAGTGATCCTTTTTTCCTAATGAAACAGAGGGTCTTTCACCCATTGTGTAGCAGGCCACAGTTCTTCCTAGGTTAAATCATATTAGATTCCAAAAATCAGATACTACACCTCCAATGAGGGCTTCAGGAACTTTCCACCAGGAATATCTACAATCGTGCCCGTGAGGCCACAGCAGGGCACAGAAAGTCAAAGCTATCTCTCCCTCCCCTCATCTCCAGCCTCTAACAATGATGAGCAGCCAGAGGGCAAGTCTCTCCTTACACTGCTATGGAAACTGCCTCCCTTCGAAGACCCAGTCTCATTATCTCTGCACCTCTAGGCAGGGAAATTGCATGGCCTTACCGCAGACGTTAGACGAGCAAGGATTTCATCACTGCTTTCTTCGGCATCTTCAATTTTCTGATGAGACCTTTGAAAAACAAAGAACAAATTACCCTTTGACTTTGGTTGCTCTGAGTTACCTGCCAAGTTATGAGGAATAAAGAGCTAAAAAAAGAGACATTGTCACTATGAGTAAAAGCATCCAAGTAACGAACACCAGGAAAGCCACAGAAACACAACTCTGTTGCAAGACAACTATCTGTTCCTTCAAAATAGTTAGCAACAGGGCTGGGGATTTAGCTCAGCGGCAAAAGTGCCTGCCTGGCAAGCGCAAGGTCGTGAGTTCGGTTCCCGGTACCGGAGAAAAAACCAAAGAAAAACCAAAATAGTTAGCAAGAACCTCTGAAGTGCACCACTGGAATCTCAGGGCTAAGCGCTATTCTCCAAATGCGAGCCCACAAGAGCCCCACACTCCCGATTCACAGATACAGGCATGTTCAAAAGTAGCAGAGCATGTAAGGAAGTTACCTACTGCAATTCCTTTTGATTCCAAATGAAACCTAAGTTTTGAAAATATGAAATGTGAACTTGGCACTGCCTGCAAGTTTCAGCCAGCCCAAGCCAATTTACTGTGAAATGGTCTATTTCAGGCCTACTAACGTGCTGGGAATTACGAAGGATACAAAAGCCAGAGGCACCTCCTTCTTCAAAAGACCACAGCCCATGAGCCATAAGAGTGTATGGGCACTTTGTTTAGGAAAATGCCTATTTTTAATTTAATTCATGAAAAAGATTTCATCACATAATTTTTTTATTAAAAAAATCTTTTAAGTTTTATTATTTTCCCTGGTTTGGTCAAAAGAAAAAAACTGACTAAAGCCAAACCGAATGTATAATCTTATCTCCTTGGTCTGTTTGCCCAGGCAGCCACCTTCAACCTACTTGGTGGATGTGGAGGGACTGTCGGAGCCCTGTTACCAGAACCGCAGTCCACCCACTGGAGCCTTCAGGGCAAGAGGGCTTTTCCCTGAGCGGAGGACAGTGGGGCAGTAGCTCTTTAAGACGGGAAAAACTATTTGGATCAATTCTGGCATTGGCTCCTTGTTTCTATCAATGTGAGTGAACCCCCTTTCAGGAAAAAAGTCACACCCTTTAAATCAGAGCAATGAATTACAAGCCATTGCCTTTCCAAGGACTGCAAGGTGCAGGCAGGGCAGTGCTCGGTCTGTCAAATACCTCAATTACGCAGGCAGCAGCCACGTCAAATGCCTGCTCCTGATCTGCCTGATACAAACAGTGGCAACTGAATGTCACAGCTTAGCATGTTAAAAAAAAAGTTACCTGGATAATAATGAACATTTCAGATAGTAAGTTTTATTACTAAGATTCTTCACACAGAAGGTTTCCTTACAAACTGAGAAGAGATTTGAAACCCTTAATGACCTAAGCCACCAAACCAGGCTTCTGTGACTCAGCTGAGGTGCCTGCACAGATCTGACAGGAAATTAAGAGCTGAGCGTGTTAGAGACGAGAGTGCCAAGCAAGGGCTTCTGTCGCTTGTCTGTCTCTGGAGCGAAGCGGGGGCTGGTCATGTCTTTTCATGTTTCTCAGACCCCAACAGACACCTGCAGGATTAGTTAATGGGCATGAGGCATTTTGTGCTAACACAGATTCTGTCATGAATCTGTTTTCAATAAACTGCTGAAAGGAACTTGAAATTTCAGGGGAAGCTCATGTGTCTAGGACGGGTAATGGTTATTTCATGAGCAGCGGTTGAGCTGTTGCTGCTTTAGTGACAAATAATTCACTCCCTGCTCAGAAGCAAAACTGTCTTTCATCATTCTTCCGGCACAAAACAGGAGCTGGTAAAAGTGTTTCTGAAGGAAATATGCATGAAAGAGACAGTAATGATCCTTCAGGAGCTGTCTGCAGCCTACCCCCGACGTTTACCACTTCAGTCACCATGATTTATGGAGTCACGCCCAGAACTCCCAAGTCTTTCTCCAGCTTCTGAATCCCCGTAAGCTTCCCTTATTGGCCCACCTGCCTTCTAAGTGGCTCGATGCAGCAATGCCAGGAGCTTCATTTTCACTCACATGGGGATCTCACAGGCTCCTAACTGAACCTAACTCACACTGACCCTTCTGGCCTCACGAGGGTCTCAGCTTTGCCTATGGCGTCTTAAGGTGTCCCTCCTGTGCTCCCCCCCTCAGCCACCAGATCCTGTCCCCTCCCTCCCTTGAGCTTTGCTGTCCCTCAGTCCCTCCCTGCTACCCCTCTCTGACCATCTAGGCCCTGAACTTCTCTCCAAGTTCATCTCACCTGGAGTAGGGGACGCTCAGGGGACCAGGACTGGAGAGCACAGGCAAAATGCCCAAAACTATCAGATGCATCTCTCATTCAGCGCATTTTTGCAAAACGAAGATAAACACTGATTGTTATGTGCGCAGATGCACATCAGCTCAGCCGAGGAAAGACAAAGTTCTCATTTACCAGATCAAAGCAGGTAATGAAAATAGATGGGGCAGAAAAGAAATCAAGGGTGGTATTTGCATATTTTCCATTATTACTGATGGGAATTGTGCTGTTCAGTGAATAAAAGAGAAAAGGTGTGCTGCTTCTAAGTCTGTGGTGAGAGAAGGGAAACGAGGCAACTCTGGCTGGAATCACTGCATGGTGGCAGTGATGGTGACGGAAAGAGAGCTTCCCCAAGGAGAAGCTCCCATCCCCAAGAGTTTGTGCCAACAGGCACCCCGTTAGGAACTCCAGGGGTGCTTCTCAAAGCCTCCGCGGATGGACAGTCCAAGGCAGATCTGGTAATTCTTCAAGAGAGAGTGCCGAGTCCTGGAGCTAGAGACTGACATCTTACAAGGTCTAAGCATACTACTGTAAGGATACAAGGGAAGCAAAACCTAAAGGCCTCTGCTCTTGCCCTTCTAACCAGGGAACTAGACACATCATTCCATTCACCCCAAAAGAAAATATCAAAACAAAAGGCCTTGCCCTTCCTAAAGTCTTCCCCACCTTAATTGAGGGCAACTCTTTCCAATTACAAGTCACCAGTGACCTCTGTCCTAACCCCTACCACACACCCTGCATTATGTCCAACTTGAGATCCTTCTAGCTCTTCCTTCAAGGCCTTACAGTACTTCCTATTTGACCACACCCCCCACCAATCACTCTCACTGTGGTCCCAGTCACAGCATCTCAAACCTGGGTCTAGGAGCCACAGCAGTCTTCCCAAAATATAAATTAGAGCATGTCCTACCTCTGTTCAAAAATCCTTGAGTGACTCCCTACCATATTCAGCATGTTTTATTCATACTTAATTAATATTGTATATATTCAAGATGCACTATGTGACGATTTGAATTCCATACACAATGTAGAGTGATTCGCACCACTACCCATGCCGTGCATTGGATCCCCACGATGTGCTCAACTTACAACTGAAAGTTTGGACCCTTCGATCAACATCTTCCCATTTTTCCTGCCCATAACACCAATATTCTGGAAGGGACTGTTTTACCTAACAAAGCAAATTCCCATGAAAAAAGAAAAGAAAGACGGTAGAAAAATGAGAATTAGTACTTTTGAGATCTTGATACATATACACAAATACCTGTTTACCTTCTTCAGTTTTTCATAATATGAGGCCACTGTTACTCTGACAGTAAATTTACCCAACACTAGTAAACTGTGAATGTGACAGATTTCATTAAGGGTCCAGGGTACACAGGGATGCACTAACCTAAGGTTACATAAAACCAGTTATTGCTGTTATCTTTTTTTTTGTATTTATTTTTAGGATGTGAAGATTAATGCTCAATATCTAATTAAACAGCTGCATTTCAAATGCTAATACAACCAAACCGAAGAGTTCAACTTTTGCTACAATTCCTGTGCTACTCGTAAATACAGAGTTACTCTGCTAAGCAATCTGTTCCCACACCTGGAGTAAGCCTTGCCTATAAACAACGGAAATTTTAGAAACTTTGGAGGACTCAGTACTTCCTTGGGAGAGGGCATAACGAGCAACAACAACAAAGACTACGAACAGCTGATTTTATAACATTTTGTATAAAAACAATTTAAAGAGATAAACGGAAAATTTCTTCCCCTAGGATCCCAACACAAAACTTGTGCCAAGATCCACTGTGAAAAAAGTTTTGACAAACACTCCAAAAATATTTGGTTTACCCAGCTAGTATTTCTTCTTCTCTTGGTATCATGAGAATGTAATTAGGAGAAGTCAGAAGCACAAAACAAAGGGTATAGGCTTGGGACACAGGGACGGCAACTCTGAACTTGAGCTGCCAGGTCAGAGGCTGTGAATGCGGCCCCTTCCAGGAGCTGAGGATTTCAATGAATTTCTCATGCTGCTTCCACATGTCAGGTGGAAAAGGAAAAATGAGGCAGGTTAAGGAGAAGAAAGGGCACAGAGGCGAGAAGGTATCGGGGGTAACAGTGATGCTGTGTTATGTAGGATGCTAAAGGGGATACAGGGATCTAATTTTGGAAGCCATCACTGTAGGACTGATAATAAATGCATCACTCACTGGATATGTCCAGAGGGCGTAGCCAGAGCAGAGAAAGCAGAGTAAACCAAATACTGAGCTTAGGACATGTCAGATTTAGAGGTCAGTGCTTTAAAATATATGTTCTATTATTAGTTAGGAATGGCCAGCCTGAATATTCAGAGATCAACAGATCCAGAGATAACTGCCATTAAAAGGCAGCTTGTTACTCACAATCCCCAAGAGGAAAGGGCATGTCACCCCATGAGAGGCACAGGGCAGGCATCAGGGTCATTCAGGAGGCAGAGGAAATGAGGGAAAAATGTAGAACATTGTGTGTGTGTGTGTGTGTGTGTGTGTGTGTGTGTGTGTGTGATTCCTGTAGTAACAAGGGAAATAGGACAAACAGGCTAAGGATTGAGTAATTTGAATAATTTCACTAGCCCTGGAGCAGAGAGGCTGCCTGCAGTTGTATAGAACTGGATGATTAGGGTTGGTGGCAAGGGGCCCAGAGAATGCAAGTCCTAAAAGTACAGGTGGCTGGGATGTGTGCTCTGGGTTTGTTGATTCA